CCCCATAAATAGAATTTTTAAAAAAAATAAGTTAAATGACAGGAATTCTGTTTCCAGGAAGATAAATAGACATACTTTTCAGTATCCCTCCCACTAAATAAAACTAAAAACCCTTGATGTTACATATAAAATAAGCATAAGAAGATCCCGAAAGGTGGAGAGAAACAGACTGGGTAGGGACCTCAGAACCCACTAAAACATGTTGTTGTGAGGTTTTCTTATTGTCTTATATAACCCAAACTTTTAAGTTGAAGTGGTTAGTAACCCAGAAATACAAATGTGTGCAAACAAAAAAAGCCCCAAAAGGAGCCTGTTCTTTCTAGCCGAAAGACCAAGAAAGGGGCTGCCTAGCAACATGGAAAATTTTAGACAATTGCTCTACTCTAGCCAAACACCACAGAAAAGACCATGGCCCCACCGAACCCCGCAAAAACTTCCACCTACACCAGGATGTACTGAGGCACCCCAATTCTCCTAATCCCTCCAATGGATATGCATCAGAGAATGAATACAAGGTAGAGAGCCAGGACTTTCACCCCAGCCAGGCAGTAAGACTACCACCACCAACCCACCGCATCCCTGCACATGGGGAGCGATACAGGCACTCTTCCTCCCTCGTTCCCGCCAGCCAGGGAGGCATCTGTGGAGATCTAGCGAGGAGCCAGGACTCTCACCACCACTCAGCAATTATGTGAAGCATCCCCTAAGGTGTCAACAGAGACCAAATGGGTAACGTGGACTTTCTACCCTCAGACGGTAATAAGGAGGTGGCATACATTCCCTTTCAGAAGCCAGCCAAAACACAAAGTTTAAATATGATCAATCCACAGTCTCCTAATACTCAAATGTTGAGGTTTCAATCAAAAATCACTTATCACATGAAGAACCAGAAAGACCTAAGCTGAATAAAAAAGACAATAAGCAGATGCCAACACCAAGAAGGAAGATAAAATTATCTGACAAAAAAAATTATCTGACAGATTTTAAAGCAGCCATCATAAAAATGCTTTGAACAAGTAACGTGACCCCACCCGAATGAAAAAACTCTCAGCAAATAGAAGATAAAAATAAGAATCACAAGGAAATTTTAGAACTAAAAAAACAGAATAACTTAAATAAGTAAATGAGATCATACTATAATTTTTTGCTTTTTTCACTTAATACCTAAAGAAAATCTAAGTCTCTCTGTATACACACGTGCAGTATTTTTCAGTAGCTATTATACTCCACTGTATGAAATAACTATAATTTGTTTAACTAATCTTTAATTGATGGGCACTTATTTATATTATTTATAATTTTTCACAATTATAAACCAGCCACAGTTGCATAATTATGCCATTTTTGCATGATTATGTCATAATTATCTGTCATTTTTAGCAAATGACATCACTAAAAAGGGAATGCACAGTTGAGATTTTCATACACACTGCCAAATAATCCTTCAGAAAAGTTGTACCAATACATTCCCACTTATAGTGTATGTCTACTTTCTCACATCCTTGCCAACAATGGGTATTGACCCAATGCTGTTCCTTGTTTTCTAATTTGAGAGATGTTATTTTTACATATACTTCTTTGTTAATAATACAGCAAATACATTTTTATATGTTGAGAAGCCAGAAATTTTTCTTTGAAAATTACCAGTGCAGGTCTTCTGTGAATTCTCATTGTTTACCTTACTACTATAAAAGAGTCCTTGTTATTTCACAAATATAAGCTGGTTAACCTACAAGGTACAAATGTATTTTCATCATTCTGTTGCTTTTTAACTTTGTGGATGCTTTTTTTGCAGAAAGAGTTTTTAATTGGTTCAGACTTCATTTTGGCAATCAAATTTAACTAAATCTAAGTTCCATTCAGTAAAAGTACAAAGGCATCAACCTAAACACTCAGTCCCAACTAGTTTAAAAGCCAAACAATCATAAAATCACCACTCACACTACTGATCAGAATCTAGAATTAGTCTGTTTTAATGAGACTTGGAAAGAACAAGATGCTAGCACCCACTGATTACCTATATATTTAATTAACAATAGCTTTCTCCACAGTTTCCCCTGATCGCAACGATTGAACTTTTGACTCCCCTGTTTAATAACATTCCATTTTTCCATTGGGATCCCACTCCTACTCTAAATTTAAGTCTATCTCGCTGATGATTTGACAACCTTCTAAACCCTTTTTCCTTCTGGAGGCTGGACCCTTCCTGATGGGCTTTCACTGTTAATCTGGAACCCTACCTTGAAATAACCAAAACTCTGAAAACTACCAGACTGCCACCTGACATGGCTCATGAGTATCACTACCTAGAGATTTCTGCTATCACGTTCTGCCCCTCTTTTGGAGACTGACCCATATTTCCTAGGCTACCTTGGGTATCATAATTTGGACAGCCAGTCAACTCACTTGAGCTATTGCTCAACTGGGATAGAAAATAAAACAAATGCAGTGCATTATTCCTTTTATTTCCCCTGGACATCTGCTCTCCGTGCTTACCTCTTTTCCCCCACCAACCGATCACAGGATCTGGCATACTTTATCATACATACAAGCTTGCTTGGTTTATGATAAGCAGCACTAATAATGTCATAAAAAATAAGCACAAGCACTGGAATCATAATTTCTGTGAAAGTCACATACAAAAATTCATGAGAGAAAAATAGTTTAAAAGAATACCTTTTAATAATTTGAAAATCTCTCTTTGATATTTATGATATTCCAAAGAATAAAAAACATTTGCCTATAATTTTTTTTAATTAGTCCACAAATGTTTATAGTGCTTGCCTTAACTACCAATGTATTAATTAAAAACATATCTGACATCAATACCATAATTAGAGTATCAAGGCTTAGGGCTAGATTACATCACTTAAAATTTTCATTTTCCATCTTTTTTCAAGTCATAAGTAGTATCTTTTTTTTTTAAGTTTAGTTATTTATTTTGAGAGAAAGACAGAAGGGGAGGGGACAGAGAGAGAAAGAGAGAATCCCAAACAGGCATGCGCTGTTAACACAGAGCCTGACAGAGGACTTGATCTCAGGATGTATGAGATCATGACCAGAACCAAAGTCAACAGTTGGACTCTTAACTGACTGAGCAAGAGGCGCTATTTTTTTTACCTAATTTTACTCATGTTCCAGGATACTTCCATGCTAAAAAAAATAGATTTTTAAATTAAAAATGTCAATCAAAAGCCATAAAAATAGTATGCTCCTATATATGTACTTAGCAAAAACCATATCCCTAGCTAAAGAAATACAGCACAAGTATTCAATTCCTTAGCAATCTACAACTAAACTCTACAGCAGTCAATTTTACAAAGTATCAAAGTATTATCATCCGGGATCAGGAAAAATTAGCTAGAAAGGATATTACTAGGTTAACTCAATGGTTTACAACCAGGGACAGTTTGCCTTCCAGGAAAACATCTGCCAGTACCTAGGGACATTTCTGGTTGTCACACTGTGGCAGAGAGGAGAGCCATACCCTACTTAGTAGCTAGTGGGTAGAAGCTAGGGGATGCTGCTAAGGATCCTATAGTGCACAAGATAGCCCGCCACCACCCCCCACCCCCACACACACACAGCAAGAAATTATCTGGTCCGTAAGTAACGTCTACAGTGAGGAGGCAGAGCAATCTGGAACTAATGAAATGTGAATATGGACTACACTGTATGAATGTTAAATTTCCTGCATCTGATCATTTTCATGTGGTTTTATAAAAGAACAACTTTGTTCCTAGGAAATACATATTAAAGTATTTAAGAATAAAGGAAACCGCAAATGGTTCAGAAAAAGATATCTGTCTATATGTATATATATATAAAGAGAGAGAGAGAGAGAAAGAATGATAAAGCAATGAGCCAAATGCTAACAACTGGTGAATCTGAGTAAAGAGTATACAGAAATTTTCAATATTCTTACAATGTGAAATTCTATCAAGATATAAAAATTAAGCAAGTATTACATGCCTGTAAATTTCTTTTAACTGGGAAACTCTGCACAATTTCCCAGTATATATGTGCAATATAGCAAATCAGATTTACTCCTTCCTCAAAATAAATTACATTACCTTAGGGGTGCTGGGTGGCTCAGTCGGTTAAATGTCCAACTCTTGATTTCAGCTCAGGTCATGATCTCACAGTTCTTGAGATCAAGCACCGTGTCAGGCTCTGTGCTGACAGTGCATGCCTGCTTAGGATTCTCTCTTCCACTCTCTCTGCCCCCACCCCACCCCACTCTTTCTCAAAATAAATAAATTTAAAATTTTTTTTAAAAGTTACATTATCTTGAATGGATACTTGTAAATTTGCCAAGCTAAGTCAAGTAAGCAAACATTGAAAAGTATTAATTTCTAAAATGTGAGGTGTCCAAAAAGCTAGAAACATTTAGATGTGTACTAAGGGTCAACATTCTTTAATACATCACAGTAAATGTATGGCTTAATACCCCTGCATTGTACATTTCGGGCTTTCAATACACATTGAAAACTGTAATCATTTTGAATCACATAAGATCTGAACAAAATCAGTGGAAAAGCATGTATTAGAAATAAAACAAAAACATTTTTTTTTTCAAGACTCAGATTTTTGGAGCGCCTGGGTGGTTCAGTCGGTTAAGCATCTGACTTCAGTTCAGGTCATGATCTTGCTGTTTGTGAGTTCAAGCCTTGTGTCGGGCTCTGTGCTGACAGCTCAGAGCCTGGAGCTTGCTTCAGATTATGTGTCTCCCTCTCTCTCTCTCTGCCCCTCCCCTGCTCATTCTCTCTCTCTCAAAAATAAACAGACATTTAAAAAAAAATTGTATAAAAAAAAAAAGACTCAGATTTTCAGAAGCTTAACATTAGCTCTGAATTCTTGAAACTTCTTTCTATTTCTAGGCGCTTATCACCTAAGTACCAATCAACAAACATACAACAGCAACTTTGTAAACATTAAGTTTATGTCTGTAAAGCAGTAATTAACATTTTTAAATCCAGGAAAAAATTTAGGGCACTTACAGATGTCTGGGACATACTTGACTGTTGTGTGACACTTCCTGTAGGGGATGTAGATGGTCTTCCACTGGACAAACTTGCCTAAAATAATAAGATCTTTATAACATGTCTATAAAAATCTGAAGTTAAAAACTTTCTGGTACCAAGATACCAGAAAAAATCACAATAAAGGTCAAAACGTCTAGGTATGAACCAATCTAATTCACAATCAACAGAGATTAAGTTTTGGCCCAAAAGATTAAGGGAAAAAAACAAAAAGCTGAACGATGAAAACAAAGGACCCAAAGGCTAATCTTATTTTAATAACTGCACTCATTGTCAGTTTTACTCTACAAGTCTCTCTTCTTTCAAGTGGAACCACCACTCCAACGTTATGAAAAAGAAATCGGAGCTACATCAAGTGCCAGTGGGTTTCAGTTTCCTAACTTGCATCATGAACACGTTATTTAAAATCATACTGTGAAGAAGACACAACAGCTGGGGATGTGTTCCTAACAGAAATAAACCTTTTTCAGGTTCAGTCAACTGAAATCCTCCTCTCATAAGAAGATTTAAGATTAAATCTCACATGTAGTCTTGTTTAAATAAATAGAATAAGAATGACAATCTTTTTTTAAACAAGTATTTAATCATAAAACTATCCTGTTATCACTAGGAACAGTATGACTGGATATAAGAAAGGCGCATGTACATATACTTTTATACAGAAAATTTCTGGAGAAATATATATTAAACAGTGGCTACCTGTAAAGAATGAAAAACAGTAGTAGGTCTGGAAAAGGAATATCTCCACTTGGCCTCTTATAAACAATTTTATACTGCTAGATTTTTTTAATTAATGTAAGTTATTTACATTAAAAAATTGTTTTCACTGAAATGTAAACACAATTCCTATAACCGTAAGTATTCACTGTTGTACCCAGAATTGTATTACCCACAAAACCATGACACTAGCATAGTATTTCTGCAACGCAGATGAAAAGAAGTGGGATGGAAGTTAGCAACAGAGTAACATATAAAACCTATCCGTATATTTTTTATTAATTTCTATTTGGCAGCCTACTAATTTCTTTAAGGAAAACTAATCACAGAGCATTTGAGAACTGAAATAATAACCAATGTATTTATTTTCAGTAATTATCTGCAAATAATGTCAACATTATGTCACCATTAGCCTCATAAAGCCTGAATTTAGTTAAGTCTCACCTGGACGGCAGCGAGGCTCTGGAGCTGGGAGCTGCTCAGGTGCTGCTGCTGGAGGGCGGCGGTGTGCAGCATCAGGTGCTGCTGCTGAGCTGCATACATCTGCTGCAGGTACTGAGCAGCAGAGCTGGGGGGCCGATGCAACGCCTGCTGAATCACCTGCGGTGAGTCAAGTGAACCAACGTCAAATCATGATCTTCATGTTAATTCAACTATAAAGTATAAAACAAGTGGCAGTTTAAAATTTCACTACTTTAATATTCAATGTCAAGTTTATTAATATAGTGCTCTCCCAGTTACATATGACGAAGATTCACTAATCTGTACAAATTAAAACTACCCAAAAGAGGCAATTCACGAAACAATCTAAAAGAGCCAAATAAGCACTTGAAAACATCTTCAATCTCATTAGTCATCAAAATTTACAAATTAAAACATGATACTATTTTCCAACTTTCAGATGAACAACCAACTTAAAAGAATATTACCACTAAATGGGAAAGTAGATAACTCTCAAAGTGTTAGTAAGAATGTATATAGGCATGGTGTTTTAGACAAAATTTGGTGGAACTCAGGGGTTGGGTATTGAGAGGAATATGCATAACTCTACAGCCATTACAAATAATAATGCAGATCAACACTGCCAAATATAGCAGCCACTAGCGACATGTGTCTCCTGAGCACTTAACAAATGCAGCTAATGCAACTGAGAAAATGACTTTTTAATTTTCCTAAATTTTAATTTTAATATAAATGGCCACAAGCACCTAGGAGCTACTGTATTCAAAAGCACAGATATTTCTACTTTTACCAACAAAAAAAATCCCAAATATATCATTTGGTGAAAAAAACATATTAAATAGTGTATAAAGTAAGATACCATTTTTATATAAAAATATTTGAAAGAATATTCAGAAAAACATTAAAAGACTACCAATAGACAGCTAGATTCAAGAAGATTTTTACCTTCTCATTTGAACTTTTCTGTAAATATCTGGAAAAAAAATCTGGAAGTAGGTATTATATTAATAATCATGTAAAACTATAAAGCCATTTCATGTTTTAAATTACTATTACTTTTTAAATGTTTTTTAAATGTTGGGTTCCTTTCAACATAAAATAAAACTATTCTAACTAAAAATTCTTGAAAAAGTGTTAATTACTGTGAATATTAATAAAATATAAAATCTGAGCCTGAAACTTCATAAATAGGTAAATGTAGAAAAGTATTCTAGAGACAAACTCCTTGATCTGTCCAAACCCGTAAATCAGACTATATCAGTCCTCTGCAACCACATTCCAAAGTCACATCATGCCCGCAGTGATCTGAAACAGCACAGAACCCTAATCTCAGGATCAAACCACGGTGTTCAGAACTAAGGGAGTAACAGAGTCATTATCCGATAGCTTGAGGTCTGAGTCAGGACACCATGAACCACAAAGCAATGAATCTCTTTATCCAAATTCCAAGAAAATACATTTCCTTGTTTACTTTCATGTATTCATATCTCATCTCTCCAACTACAGTTTGCTATATCTGCTACAGACTCCTGTCACAATATCAATGTAGGCTTTTGACCTCTAGTTGCAGGAGACTATATATAGGCCAGCATTAAGCAATTTAGAATTACAGCAGTACATCTTTTGGGTCAGGTAAATCTATGTATGTTCTTCAAATTCTGTAACAAAACTAAAAGCAAACTTAAATAATCTATTTGACACATTTTTGTCAGAGGGTAGCCATTTCTCCTATTGTCAACGTAGTCTTTCATTATCATTCAATGATACACTCATGGGAGAGAGGCTACTAGAAGACAAGTTAAAGGTACAACACATTGCTCTTATTCTTCAAAGAAGCAAAAAGGGTAAAGAGAATTCACGGTACTGGAAAATAATGCTGGAAGGTATTAAAGAACTACTTAGGTATTTCAATAAATATTGATATGATTGTATTTTAGGGGAAGCAATTCTATGATCTCATAAGAACTAGTGTAAGTGCTATTTGTGAGATATATCTATACCTATCCATCTCCAGTAACATTTTATTTTTTATTAACACATCCGGCTTAGATAAAAACTAGAGATCAAAATATCATATTAAAATACCACATCAACTGCATGCTCAAAGATCTAGATGCTCTCTCCTATACCCCCGCAAAGAAGGTAAAGAACATTAAAAACATATTCCTCATTCCAGTTTGAACATTTGCTGGACTGACTCAATTTCCAACAACTGATTCCACCCCATGGTAACTTCAGAATCCAAAACAACACAACAGTTAAATAGCCATTATGCTGGGATATCCAATCTAGAAAAATGGAAGTCAAGACTATACTGCAAACAGGTTAAAATATTTTCAGAGTAGAATGAAATTGTGGAGACTGTAGAAAGAGTAAGCAGATATAATGGGAAAAATAAAAACTCAGAGTGGTTAAAGGCACAGCTCTAAAACCAGACAATCTACCAGCTATGTGCATTTAGGAAAAGTTATTTAATCTATTTAAAAGATCAGCCTTCCTATCTGTAAAATGGGAGCTAATAACACCAACCACTTTATAGAGGTGTGGTGAGGATTAAAGGAGATAATCCAGAAATGACTCAGTGGCTCAGTAGGTTAAGCATCTGACTCCTGACCTCAGCTAAGGTCATGATCTCATAGTTTGTAAGTTCAAGCCCTGCGTCAGGCTCTGAGCTGGCAGTTCAGAGCCTGCTTAGGATTCTTTCTTTCTGTCCCTCTCTCACTCTCTGCCCCTCCCCTGCTCATGCATATGCTCTCTCTCCAGAAAAAATAAACTTTAAAAAAAACGAAAAAAAAGAGGGAACCCCCACCCCAGGGTGGCTCAGTCAGTTCAAAGTCCAACTCCTGATTTTAGCTCAGGTCATGATCTCATGGGTCATGGGTTTGAGCCCCACATCCAGCCCTGTGCTGTCGGCAGGTACCTTGCTTGCTTAGGGTTCTGTCTCCTCTCTCTCTCTGCCCCTCCCCTGCTTGTGCTCTCTTTCTCTCAAAAATAAATAAACTTTAAAAAAGATAATCCATGTAAAGCATTCATCAAATACCTGGCACATAGTAATTGTTCAATAAATATTAGCTATTGTTATTGATTAGGCATATATAATATTCCCCACACAGTTCTAATGCTTCCATAAATGATAATAACTAAGGAAGTAGGTAGTCTCATCCTCATTTTACAGTTTCCTGATGCTCAAAGAGATCATGCCTCTCAGCCAAGACACATAGCTACTAAGGATTAAGAAAATGGAATTCAGGGGCGCCTGGGTGGCTTAGTCTGTTACACACCCAACTTTTGCTTAGGGCATGATCTCGCGGTTTGTGGGTTCGAGCCCTGTGTCGGGCTCTGTGCTGACTGCCGGCTCAGAGCCTGGAGCCTGTTTCAGTCTGTGACTCCCTCTCTCTCTGACCCTCCCCTGCTCGCGCGCTCTCTCTCTCTCTCTTTCCTAGAAATAAATAAAAATATTAAAAAAAAAAAAGAAAATGGAATTCAAACAAAGAACATATCAGACTATAATACCCATGCCCTTTTTATGAAATACCATATTGCCTCAACCTCATTATAAAAGTTAACCAAAATTAATTTTGTCAACCAAGTGAAGAAACTAAAACTTTTCCTGAATATACCCTTCCCCCTCTGCCCTTAACAACTTTAAATGGCTTCTTCTGCTTAGGTTCTTGAGCCACTTGAGTTTAAAATGAACCTCTTAGTTCATAGCAGCACTCTCAACAATAGCCAAAACATCGAAAGAGCCTAAGTGTCCATCAACGGATGAATTAATCAAGAAGATGTGGTTTATCTAGACCATGGAATACTACGTGGCAATGAGAAAGAATGAAATCTGGCCATGTGTAGCAACATGGGTGGATCTTGAGGGTGTTATGCTGAGTGAAATCATGGATGGACCTTGAGGGTGTTATGCTGAGTGAAATAAGTCAGGCAGAGAAGGACAAATATCATATGTTTGCAGGTATAGGAGGATTAGGAGGAACCTAACTGAGAAACAAGGGTGAGAGGAAGGGGGGAAATGGTGGGGGAGAGGGAGAGAGGCAAACCATGAAAGACTCCTGAATGCTGACAAAAACTGAGGACTGATGGATGTGGGGGGGGAGGGGCGATGGGCATGGAGGAGGGCACTCGTGGGGATGAGCACTGGGTGTTATGTGGAAACCAATTTGACAATAAACGATTTGTAAAAAATAATAATAATAATAATAAATAAATAAAATGAACCTCTTAAATCATCCAAAGACCTGAATAGATCTTCCTAAGTCTATGTTTTGGGTTCAAATATAAAAGAACCTACAAAAACCTAGATCCATTCAGCATATTAAGGCTGTAGACAGAGGGTCTCCACATTGTAGCAGCCACCTAGAGACTTTCCAATTATAATTTTCCTGACCTATGGTTTTCTAAGCCACATGCTGACAAATGTCAGCCTTCTCAAGAGTGACTATTAAATAACTTTTGAGTGTTTCAAATATTAAGTATTCTCACTGTACTCATTTAGAAAATATCATTTCACTCATTTGAGGGTGTAAAACAATAGGTTCATCAGGCTTAAGAGAAAAATAATGGCATCCTAAGTCTTAGCCGGTGCACCCTTCATTATAACTGAAATACCTGTACAGCATGTCGGTCTGAGCCACTGTAGACAGAGATCTGTGGTTGCTGCATTCGAGAGGAGGAAGTGGTGATAGTTGTGGTGGTGGTACTACTGGTTGTTGTCGACACAGAAGATGTGCCAGAGTTTGCCTCACTATCCATAGCTGTATTGTGGTCCTTGAATCTGTCAGATAACACAAAGGGTGTGCATTGGCAAAAGCATTATATTATAGGCTTTAAAGAATATTAATTACTTCAAAGAAATAATCAGCAACAATCTAAAATTTTAAGGCAACTCTCATAAAATAGCACAGATGGCACACAGTTACCATAAGCACTTAGAAAGGAAAAGCACTTCACAACATTTAGCATGTTTGATAGTTAATTTCTTCTAAATTTGAGTTCAAATAATTCAGGATATGCAACTTTAATAAATCCTGGCCTAAAGTTTATCTTTCATAATTGAAAGATGATTGAAAACAAAACAGGCTTATAAGAGAATACTATACCTAAAAGATAAATACTAGAGCAACCTCAGAATACTTTAAAGTTTTTCTTTACTTTCCTTCGACCAAAGTCATTCTAATCTATTCATTAAAATAGGATGCTGAAGGACTTGCGTTCATTAGCTTATTTCTGGTTACCACATACACTCTGCTTTAAAAATACGTTCTCTTACTAAATAAGTTAATTTTTAAAATAATTTAAGATTTTATTTTTTAAGTAATCTCTACAACCCAATGTGGGGCCTCCAAGGGGTGGGCACCTGGCTGGCTCAGTGGGTACAACATACAACTCTTGATCTCAGATTCATGGTGAGTTCAAGCTCCACATTGGGTACAGAGCTTACATTTAAAAAAAAAAAAAAAAAAAAAGTAGGGGCACCGGGCTCAGTTGGCTAAGCGACCCAACTTTGGCTCAGGTCATGATCTCAACGGTTCATGAGCTCGAGCCCTGTGTTGGGCTCTCTGCTATCAGCACAGAGCTGGCTTCAGGTCCTCTATCTCACTCCCACTCATGCATGCGCACACGCTCTCTCGCTCTCTCAAAACTAAACACTTTAAAAAAAAAAGTAAAAATAATTTTTTATTAACTCACACTGGTTTTTCCCCTAATTAGTCTACAACATGGTCCTTAATACACCTACTGACTCTGGTTATACTTATAAGCAGATTACTCCTGGAAAACAGAGAAGCAGCTGACAACAATTTCCTCACTTCCTTCCAAAAACTCCTTTCACAAAGAATTGCTCCAAATTTTGAAAACAGCATAATTACGTCATTTTCCTCATATATGGACAGTAAAGGCCCTTTTTGTACCAGACTTTGATTCTTTCAAAGTCACTTCACTGTTGTGGTATAAAATTCCACTTAACACTGAATCTATAACTGAACAAATTCAAACAACATTTTAAGTAAAATCTGAGGGCCTCACTATGGTTCTAAAGTAAAACTACAATAGTTTTTGTAGGGTTAGAAATGCACCAGACTAGTGAAAAGCACACTCGAAGATATACTAATTTTATCTGCCTTTCTTATCCTGTCTTTTCTTCTGAGAAACAATATCTGACACACATCACATCAGAATCATTGACAAGGATGTAACAAGAACACTTTCTACTTCATGGAAAGACAAAGGAATTTCGCACTAATTGTGCATACACACACTATTCCCATATGGTGTCCCTTTACGTACAAATTATCTTTGTTCTTTACATCATTTATGCAAATAGTATTTATATGCTCTCCAAGGAATTAAAAGAAACAAAAACTCAATTAATGAAAGGAAAAATGAAAGGAAAATAGTCGAGGAAAACAGCTGACTTCACTTTTTTCATGAGTAAATGACTCACACATCTCTACACTACTCTAGGATTGTTTAATAGCTTTTCAAAATGCCTTCCAATCATCAAATCATATGGTAACTGTTTAACAGCATACAGATTTAGAGGTAGATAAGGGACACTTTTTGCTGAATTGCTGGCTGTCAAAACTTCTTAACCGTGTAGCAGTGATATGCAAAGAGCCAGTTTAAAACCTGGTCCTTTGAGACTGCTATTTTGCACAACCATGTCCTCAAACTGAAACCCTACGGTGAGTTCGTTCACTAACATAAACCAAAAATGGTCACAGATAATCCAAATTCTAGGCCCAAATCTAAACATCAGTGAGTAGAAATGACCAAACCATTGTATTGCATTTGGAGACCTGGCACAAAAAAACCAATTTTACTAACTCCACCGTCTGTGCGTAGTACTGTCTGCAAAATACAGCTGGCAGTCTTGGTGCACAAGAGGCCTACCCAGGAAACACGAAGTTTGAGTAGCTAACTAAGGATACCGTCACACCACACCGCCACGCAAGAACATGGCCCTCTAACGCAGGCAGCAACACTGCAGCCAGAGACCCAGGGGGAAATAAGGGCTTTCTTTCCGGGGTGTTACAGCCTGGCCAGACCCGCAGGAGCCCCCGCCGCGCTAAGGCCCGCGCTAGGACACCTTCTCCACGCCTCCTGGGGGAGGGCGGTGAGCAGCTTCGTCTCAGGTTCTCCCTCTGAGGAGGAGTGGGGTGACGCCGGGGCGGGAAGGAGGGGAGCGCTAAGGAGGCCTGGCAGTGCCCGCCCAACCCTACCCAGCCTCCGCGGGCCCCTGGCGCGGGCATCCGTGACAAGGCTCCCCGCGGGGCCCACTTGCAGGGATGACAGCGCCTGAGGGGCCCCCTGGGGCTCACCTCCCGGAAGACCCCAGCGGTCGGAGTCCCTGGGGTGACTCTGCCGGCAGGGCCCTGCCGATTCGGGATCACACGGCGGAAGGGGCGCTCCCGCCTGGAGGTAACTAGACCCTTACAGTTAGCCTCCGCCCCCCATATGGGCCAAGCGGGCTCCTCCAAGCAAGATAAGGAAGCTCTTGGGTCTCCCTTTCCCTGAACTGCCCGCAAAAGAGCCTTGAGCTTTCCCCTCAGGGGACATGTCGCTGCCCCACTCGCCCCCCGGTTACGACATCAGTCACCAGCAAGTCACTCACTCCGCTTCCGCCATCTTCTCTCCTCCATCACTAACACGGGCTGCGCATGCGCCCCCCGGCGGCGAGCGGAGGGGCGGGGTCGACTCAGCCCGGGGGCCCCCAAGGTCACGTGGCGTTCTCGGCTTCCATTTCCCCCCTCCCACCTGAGGCCTTGGTCGCCCTGGGAAATGACCAGGTTTCTCCAATTTAAATGCCCCTACCTCCCCTCCAGTCCCTCTCTTTGTCTTGCCGATGGCCTTCTTGAGGAAGGGGTGTGTAACCAAGATACAAAAAGTTCTCCTTGGACAGTTAAAATTTTTAAGAACGTCTAAAATATACCAAAGTGTATGCAAACTGCCGTAAGTAAAATGAAAGAAAATACAACCAAGATTGGAGGCTGAAGTTTCAGCGGAAAAGAAAACGGCTTGGTGGCTACAGGGCTTGTTTCTTCGGGCTCTTGATTAGGGGTACAAACCAGCAGTCCTCTCGCAGGCTCAAAAATTGTGTTCCACTCGCTGGTGAGATTAAGGAATCACCATGATTACCCTATGAATATTATTCACGTCTTTGGCATGAATTTACTGAGCATTTAGTAGGGATTGCAAACTTGAGCACCAGAGAGAATATGCAGGTATGGCTACCAGTTTCCTAATATGTTTTACTGTGCAGTATATATGGTAACTACACTGAGGCAGACTGACACAAATAAGTAAAGATGATTATAAAAAGTCCCTGTCTTCCAAGAAATTTTAACCTTGAGAGTTGGGTGTTTTTGTAGAGATATCCCTCAATATAACAGATTCAGTTTGTGCTTTGAAAACCTTAAGTTCACGTAATAATCAATCTTTACTGCCCTTAAAGCGTACTGATGACAATGTCCTGCCCTTAAAGCATACTGATGACAATGTCTTCTTTTGGTATTTCTTAAGATGGTGGAATTGCACTGATTTCAAGACCTGATAAATAAACTATTGATATAAATCCATCATAAAGTGTAATGTGGACTAATGAAAAGTATACTTAATCTTAGAAATCTTGTGCTTTCAGGCTCTCCCTAGGGAAGGCAAAAGAACGTTTTCAATATAAACTAAATTGTCACTTCTTTTACCCCCTCTGAAAACATAGGTTTGTTTGGTTTTTTTTTCCTAAAGATTTTATTCTTGGGGCACCTGGGTGGCTCAGTCAGTTAAGCGTCCCACTCTTGATATCGGCGCAGGTTATGATCTCACAGTTATGAGACTGAACCCCGCATCAGGCCCAGCGCAAAGCCTGCATGGGATTCTCTCTCTCTCTCTCTCTCTCTCTCTTTCTCTCTCTGCCCCTTCCCTGCTCATGCACTCTCTCTCTCTCCCCAAATAAATAAACCTTAAAAAAAAGATTTTTATTCTTAAGTAATCTCCACACCCCCAAGATAGGGCTCAAACTCACAACCCTAAGACCAAAAGTAGCACGCTATTCTAACTGAGCCAGCCAGGCACCCCTGAAAATGTGGTTTCTTTACTTCATTTTCCTCTCTGAGGGCAGTGCCTCTCCTACTACTCCTAGAAGAACTCACTGAGAAAGTCCCCTTTGAAAAGTCCCTATGGGTACTTAAAATATTACTGCTTTTTCTTTCATTTCTGACATGCTTATATAATGGCATTGTCATTTGACTCTCAAAAATCAAATGTCCATTGGTATTGCTGAAAATTTTGGTTAGAGAAACAAGTGAGGAAAAATTACAGTCTTGAACCTAAAGATGGAAAATGTCAAAGGAGTGTTTGGGATAAACATGTTAGGTAAAGTCAGACCAGTATTGCTTTTTGAGAAACATTTCTAAAGTTGATAGTTATTATAACAAGAGCAATCATGTATACAGCCTTTTTACTAAGTGCCGACTAATTTAATCCTCACCAAAACCCTTGATATAATTAACACCATTCCCATTTAGCACAGAGGTATAGTAAGGCTCAAGGTGATTAAGAACCCATGTTGTCTCTGCTCGAATGTACCAGAAGCAGGATTCTAATTTCCATTTCCAAAGCCAAGTTTTTTCATGGTAGCATTCAGAAGGCCACTGTGCGGAATGTTAGAAGAGACAAAGTATGATGAGGGACTACTCTTTTTTTTTTTTAATGTTTTATTTATTTCTAGGAGAGAGACAGAGGGAGAGACAGCGTGAGCAGGGGAGGGTCAGAGAGAGAGGGAGTCACAGACTGAAACAGGCTCCAGGCTCTGAGCTGGCAGTCAGCACAGAGCCCGACGCGGGGCTCGAACCCACGAACCGCGAGATCATGACCTAAGCGAAAGTCGGACGCTTAACCAACTAAGCGCCCCTGGCGCCCTGATGAGGGACTACTCTTATAAAATTTATCAAAGGAAGGTATTTTACTTCTTTGTGATTTCCTTTTTTTATTTCACTATTTTTAAATATAATTTATTGTCAAATTGTCTAATATACAGTGTGTAAAGTGTGCTCTTGGTTTTTGGGGTATGATTTCCTAAGGAAAGTATGTACATGGCATGTTAATGAATTGAACTTCTTTCTAAAATTTCCAGGAATCATAACCTTGGAGAAGTGCTAGGGTCCTAGCTGGTTTTAGAAAACCCCCTCTAGCCTTGTGAAGGATGGATTGGAGGAGAATGAAAAATGGAGACAGGGGAGCTAATTGAGAACTATATGAATCCTACGAGAAATGATAAGGGCCACAGGAATGGAAAAGAAGGCTAGATTAAAATTTCAGCTCCTTAGTTGCATTAGTCACACTTCAAGTGCTCAATAGCCACATGTAGCTAGTGACAACTATATTGTGCAGAGCAGGTATAGAATATTTCCATTGTTACGGAAAGTTCTATTGGACAGGGCCAGTCTGGACTCTAGGTCAGGGGTTGGCAAATTACAGTTTCTCCCTTAGTCAGTTTGGGCCACTATAACAAACACCTTCGATTGGGTGGCTTAAACAACATTTCTTTCTCAGAGTTCTGGAGGCTGGCTGGGAAGTCTAAGATCAAGGTGCAAGTGGATTCAGTGTCTAGTGAGAGCCCTCTTCCTAGTTTGCAGACAGCTGCCTCCTTGCTGGATCCTTCCATTGGAGCAGGAGTGGGAACCACAGGCATACGGGCCACTTCTTCCTGTAACACACCTGTGCCTTCAGGGCCTGCTGGGCCCTTTCCATTTGATGGTGGAATGCTGCTATGCACAACCAACTATATGGCTTGGTAAGTCAGACAACACTCAGTTTATGATGGGTAGCTCAGGTCTCATGGTAACTGGGTGAACAATTTAGTCTCTGTTCAGGCACAGTAGCAAGCCAAGAGCTGTTTCCAAAAGGAATTATCTGTAGAAGATGGTAGGCCTTTTTCCCAAAATTTTAAGGGCCTGCATGCATTGTGATGCACCTAGGGGCCTATCAAAGGCTCCAAACAGCATCCCTATCGGCAACGTACACTCCAAGCCCCATTGGATCTGCTGGATCATCTGGCCCAAGTTGGCAATGCAGCATGCACAGCAGCCTGGGCCTGTCACAGAGCCTTCTCTTGTCCGGGGCCCCATTCAAAATTAGCAGCTTTTTAGGTTGCTCAGTAAGTAGCATGGAGTAGAACACCCAACTGAGAAATATGTTGCCTCTGTATTCCTGGACCCCTAGAAATTTCACTGAGGTAGAAGCCCCTAAGATCATTTTGGATTTATTTCCCACCTTGTGACATGCAAACACCTTACTGATAAGTCTAGAGTCATTGCTACTTCTTGCTGACTAGGTCCAATCAACATAATGTCATCAATATAAGGGACCAGTGTGATACCTTGTGGGAGGGAAAAGTGATCAAGATCTTCGTGAGCTAAATTATGACATAGGGCTGGAGAGCTGATGTACCCCAAGGTAGGACAGTGAAGTATATTGGTGACCTTGCCATTCAAAAGCGAGCTGCTTCTGGTAGGTTTTACTAACAGGTATCAAGAAAAAAAAGCATTTGCCAGATCAGCAGCTATACACAAGGTACCAGGGGTATGTTCATTTGTCCAAGCAAGGAAATCACATCTGGTGCAAGAGCTGTAACTGGAGCCACCACCTGGTTAAGCTCTTGATTGTCCACTGTCATTTTCCAGGACCCATCTGTCTTCTGCACAAGCCAGATAGGGGGGTGGAATAGGTTTGTGGTAGCAATAATCTCTGTAGCCCCTCCAGGAATGGGCTATTGATTTTGACTTACGATTTCTATGGGTAGATGCAGTTCCAGGAGCTCCCACTTGGCCTTTTCTACAATAATAGCCCTCATGTCACAGGTCATGGAAGCAATGCGAGGATTCTGCTATCTGCTAAGTATATCTATTCCACGTATGCATTCCAGAACTGAATAAATTAACAAAGGATGGAGTTGGGGTCCAACTGGGTCCACTGTGAGACAGACCTGAGATCAAACTCTACCTATCACCTAACCTCTCTAAGCCTCTCCTCTGACTAATGGGCCATAGTGACATTTGGGTCTCCTGGAATCAATGTCAGTTCAGGCCCATTGTCCAGTAGTCCCCAAAGGGTCTGATTGTTTCCTTTCCCCCAGTGCACAGTTACCCTAGTAAAGGTTGTAAGTCCCTTTGGTAGAGGCTAGAGAAAGATTAACTATAAATTTTTGGTAGTTCCCAATGTCGTCCTTCTAAGGGATGTAGCCTCCCCTTCATTTAAGCGTTTCTGGGGTCTGTAAACCGGCTGGAGTCTGAGAATTTGATTGAAAGGCTGTGACTCTCTTTTTATGATACAGGCTAGTCTTTTGTTTACTTAACCAAGGACTTCTCTACTGATCCAGTTCAAGTAAGACTTTAATAAGCGCCCTATCTATTTCATTTCTAGGAACACCATGACGAGCCAATGACATAGGTCTGCACAAGTCAGACTAATTACTGCTTTGACTCTGCTGTCCATTGTGGCAACCATGCCCACTTAGCCCTTAGCAGTTAAGTGCTGACACTTGGCCCCTGCTGTGCAAGGATACGATTACTCCTATTGCATTTAGTTTCCCAATCCATTGCTGCAGTTCCTACTGTGAAGTCTGGCCTGCAGAGAAGAATGATCACAGAAATCTTCATGATGCCAGGAC